GCAAAATGTCCTTAGAAATGGCCTCTTTGCTCGTTTTTAGTGCTCAACTGCAGTGAGTTAGGATTTTCATTTGAAAGAATAGGGCCAAGAAAGAGAAGACTCTTGCTGCTTTTCACATTTTTATCTATGAGAGGAACATAGGAAGCTGCTTTATACAGAGTCAGACCATTGGTCCATCTAGCTCAGTATTGGCTACACTGGCTGGCAGTGGCTCTCCAGCATTTCAGGCAGGAAGTCTCACCCAGCCCTATCTGGAGATGCTAGGGAATGAACCCAGGACCTTCTGCTTGAAAGACAAGTGCTACCACTGAGCTCCAGGCCTTCCTCAAGGATGTTGTATGATGGGCTATACTCAAGAGATTTGACCACCAAGGGGGATAGGCATAAGAAGACTTCACCACCACCTCCTTTCCCTGGTAGGTCACAAAAGAATTTCCTGACAAAAGATGACTCTGCCCAATTTTCTGTGATCTGCCCCTTCCCCACCCCATTCAAACTTTCTTTAGGGACCGGCCCTGCCCTTCATTTTATGTGGGCAGATTTCTGGATACAACCCAATTTAGACTGGTATAAGCAAGCTTCTAAGTTGCAGAGAACTCAAGTAGAATGAATTGCCATAAAATGTCCTATAACTGATGAAACCCAGGAATTCTGATGAAGTCTAGGAAGCTATCTCTGGTTGATCCATTGCCCCGCTTGCTTTTTGCTGCAACAGCATAAATTGGGTCTTACAAAATGATAATCTCCCTTGGGACCAACAAGACAGAAAATAACCCTTTCCTGGTACTGTATTGTTGCTTTATGTGTGAATGTTTAACTTTAAAAAAGTGAGGCTAATTTTTGGTAAAATAAAGTACTTTTATCAAAATACTTTCCTTGCTTAGGAAAAACCCAGCTGGTTTTCATCCTGCTATCAATTAAAGAAAAGAATGGTGCATATGGTACTTTCCTTCAGCTATAATTACACAGCAAATGTGTCTTGAAGGACTCCTGGCTAGATAAAGCCATGGGCTAATAATGTGGCTACAAGTTTAGTACCTTAGTATGACATGGAAGATAGATGTAGCTTGAGTACATTACATAGCTGTTTTGTACACAGTCGAATCAGTTGCTTGCTTTTCTTTTGGCTCCATTTTTGTCCTGTTTCATGGAGTTAACTATACACACACTATTCACAGTACATGCTTGTGCTATAGTCTACTTTTTAATTTTCATTTCTAAAGTTTTTAATAACCTTTCACATGACTGACTTGTATACTCAATATAGAGTTTGCAAAACCTGGAATAAATTGGGGTTAGGAAAAGACAATAAAAAGTCTCCATGTGGAAAAAGGATGGAAGAGTTTTCTCAAGCAGTTAGAGTCATTCAAAGACAAAAAACCTTTGCTTTTGGATATTTTAAACAATAAGGTACCTCAGACCTATTTGGAAACCATGGTACTTTTAACCCTCGGGAGCTGTAGGTATGTACAATGGCTAAAGGGTTAAATAGACAAAAAATAAAGACATGTTTCAATGTTTAACATTTCCAATACCACCACCACTTCAGGCTCAGAATTACACTACAGGATGTTACATTGTCTCTAACAGGCTGCTAAATCTACTTATCTTGGGCCACAGTGAAAATAGATAAAAACCTGAAGTTTTCCATGTTTAAAAGCAGTGTCTGTAAATTACTAGGTCCGGAAGCAAAAACAATTATGCCACACCCTGCTGTGATCTTCCTAAAGCATCAGGCTGGCAATGGATAAAATAAAATGCTGGATTAGAATCTTATGATCTAATCAACATCTCTATCAAAGATAGGCCACTCTAGCATTTTAATAGTAATAACTCCGTTTTAAACATCTTTTTTCCAGGCTGCTGTAAGTCACTATCACATTGTTAAAACTCAAACTGTGCAAGGCCAATTTTAGAATACTGTCAAGGTATTCTCAAACAGCAAACCAAGTAAAGGAAGAGGAATAAGAGATTTTAAATCAAATTTAATGACAGAAAATGATACAAGATATGTATTTTTTCAATTTTTAGTGTGCCTTTTTACTTTTCTGTCTGCTGGCTTCTTATCATCTATTGCCGATTCCTGGACAGGTAGCCACTTCAGAGGATTGCGACGGTAAATGGGCCATGGAGGAAGTGTGAGCTGAAACGAAAAATACAAACTTCCTTGACAATGTTTTTGTAAAAGTTTGAGCTTTGCCTATATTAACTTTTAGAGTATATACAAAGCAAAAGAGCAGTGTTTCTGTTTCTAGTAGGGGCGCCATATTTCAAAAAGTAAAAACCAGGGTGTTTTTTTAGGAAGACCCCAAAAACTACAAGAAGTTTTGGGTTTTGGAGCTTTTTAAGGCATTTTTGGTATGATTTAACCCCAGTTGCCAGTTTTCCAGGACATCTGCACAATTTCCAAAAAATAATCCAGGGCGCCATTTTTGAAGGCACATCCCAAGACATGTCCTAGAAAATCAGGACGTATAGCAGTCCTATTCTAGTGCAGTTATTTCAAACATAAGGGGGGGGGGGGAGAGCAGCATAAAGAGCACAAAATAAAACAAGAGTATCAAGCTAATGGTACTGTTGAAGATTAGAAGCATGTTAACACATTGTCCTAAAGAAACACATATTTTACTTATTTTGCATGGTATGAGCTTTCCTTACAGCTCCATTCTATCACAAGCTTTGCAGAATTCACTGTTTTGCTACACACACAAAAATAGGTAATATTCTTACCAAGCATGATAAAGCAAATCCAGCCATTACAATGTAAACTGTCCAGCCAAACTGTTCAGTGATGTACCCATAAATAAAGCCAATTACCTGCAAGAAACAATAGGTCAATGAGAATTCCAGGTCACTCTCCAAACCCAGAATGGAGAGAATTTTAAATGAGCATTTTAGCAAACATTTTAACTCATTTAAGGGGTTAATATAGGGAATTGATAGCAGCAGAACATTGGGCACTTAGCTGTCATTCATTTGGACTTGGCCCACTGCAATATTATTATTAATTCAACTTACATACTATAAACATATACAAGATAAATCAATAACTTAACAAGATTAATGTTACTGTGACATACTGACCTAGTTACTCAAGAGCTATTTTTTACAGTACTTAAGACAAAAGGCTGCAGCCCTAAACATACTAAGGCCACTAACCGCAGTAGAACTTAGTTCTGTAGGAACAGTCATTAACTTAGCCTCAGTATGCTACATACAGGCTGCAATCCAAATGAACACAATTGTTGCACTATTGCTATACGTATGCTTTAATTTCAGATATCATGTATTTATCGCCTTCTAACTGTTAAAAGCACAAAAAACAAATACTTTAAAAAATAAGACTAAAATATATGGCATTTTTGTTTACTTATACTTACAGCAGAGAAAAGAATGATTCCCTGAAAAATCTGCTCTGCTAGTTTTTGGCCTTTATAGTCCTGTAGGGATGGAAAAAAGATTTGTGAGCATCAGTATTTCCCCCCATGCTACTTACAGTTTCTATAATGATGGCATATAGATATAAGAAGATCCTGATTTAGTTTCCTGTGCCATCACTGCCATAGCAGCTTTGTAGGAATATTCATTGTCTTGTTTGCTGTCATATTTCCATGGCTTATGTGAATATTCTGAAAAAAATGTCCTAACAACGTGGAAGCATCAGAAAATGTTTCCACACAGTTGGGTGAACGTGTTGTGCTAGCACTGAGATTCTGCATTAAATAGGTGTAGAACAGTCGTGCGGTCACAGCAATCAAGGCAAAATCATTCCTTGGGCAGCTTCCACATGCCTGCTGTTAGCACTTTACTGGACTTATGTCAAATATGAACCCCTACTGATCCCTAAACTCAATATATGCTTTGACTAAACATGCCTAATACGCGGACCTCCGGAACGAATTAAGTACTTAACCCGAGGTACCACTGTATTAAGCTCCGACTTCAACCTCAAGACTACAATTCTCAGCACGCTTTAGCTTACTTGGAAGTCAAGGCGCACGGAAATCTAAGGCGCTAGGCTTTTAAGTAAACACGAGATCTCGGTTCAATAGCCCCAAGTGTTTTCAGGCGTTCTGGCTCTTCTCTTTTTCTCCAAGCCCCCAGAGACGAAGAAGAAAAGAGTGCCCCCCCCCACATCCCATCGCTGGGCATCAAAGCCACCCGCGCTCCGCTTAGGACACGTCTGCTTTATTGTGGCAGGCGGCCAAGCAGCTCCCCCATCCCCACTTCCTGCCCGGCTTGGAAGCGGAGAGGAAAGCTCTCACTAATGGTGCGGGGCGGGGGTGTCCGCAGGAGAGTCTCCCCCAAAGCCCCCTCCCTCCCCGCCTGACCCACCATCTGTGTCGGGATGGATCGGAATACGCCGAACATGATGTCTGCCTGCAAGGCCACGTCTTGCGCTCCGCAGCCGTCGTAGACTTTCTCCCGGGGCAAAGGAGGCTCGCTGGTTTCGGGCTGCACCACAGGCGAGGAGGCCGAGTCCGCGCCGGGCAGGCGGGGTTCCTTCGCCCAGCCGGGGGTCCCCTTCCTCTCGGGCAGCAGAAGAGGGTCGCCCTGCGAAGCGGAAGAGCCCAGCGAGCAGGAGGCGGCGGCGGCAAAAGGCGCTTCCGGATCCTCAGACGAGGAGGCTCTGCGCCGTAAGGCGGGGGCCACAGAGCTCACCGGAATTGCCGCTTTCTTGCCCCGCCTCATCCTGCTCGCACTTCCGGGGCGGGAACCGCGTCGCGCACTTGACCGGTCCCTCAAACGCGCTTAAAAAACCCAACAACCACAACATAAACGCGCCCCGCGACCCGACTCTTGGTCCGGCGACAACCTCTTTATGACAGCGGCAGGCTTCTCCGCGGCCTACGGAGCGCTCCGCCGACGCCGCGTCTCCATGGCAACAGACGCGCGAGGACCCCAACATTCCCCACCCGCGCGCGGAGGAGGGGACCTCGAGCGCTCCGAAGGGTCTTAACCGACTGCCTGCCGCGCTTTTTTCCCCCCGACCGAGGGCAGAACTTGTCGTTTCAGCGCATCGGGTGAATAAGGCTGCCCTGCGCGGCTGCGCCTATTTTGCGCATTTGTTTGTTTTCCGATCAGGCACCGCGTGGGGCAGCTACTTGAGCCGCTGACAACTTTGCGCTGTTGAGTTGGCATTTCTCTCGCGGGTGCCAGACTGCGCGGAGGGACGCTCGCTTTCTGGAGAAGAAGCAGGGAAAGAGGTACGGTAACAACAGTCTCGGTTGCGTCGATCAACCCGTCCGCGCAATCCCCCAGGCGCCATCCTTTCTGGCCGTCCACTTTCATGGAGGGGCAGATCCTCTCGGATGCGCCGCTTTTCCGCTGGTGTCTGAGGATTCGGGCTGCTCCCGTTTGGGAGGGTGCAAAATAACTGGTGTGTGAGCCGGGGGGGGGCATCACTGGACTGCACCGTGAGAAAGCGAATGGGCAGAATATTATTATTATTATTATTATTATTATTATTATTATTATTATTGCCAATGGGCAGAACCAAGCAGATCGAAGGTTAGAAATAACGCGCGAGACAAAACGAATTAAATGTCAGTTTCTTTAAAAGGTCTGGAAAGGCTGCAGGCCACGCACGTAGGTGACAGAACAGCGAACAGCCAACGGAGCGCTGCAAAAGCAGTTGCCTGCCTTTAATTCTTCAGAATTAAATCTCTCTCTTTTCAAGTCAAGGGCTTCATTCTCTCCTCATGGCTGATCTTCCAGGGTCCATAGAATTGTAGAGTTGGAAGGGACCACGGGGGTCATCTAGTCCAACCCCCTGCAATGCAGAGGTCTTTTGCCCAGCGTGGGACTCGAATCCACAACCCTGAGATTCAGAGTCTCCTGCGCTATTGACCAAGCCGCACATTGCATGGAGCATATGTTGAGGGCATATGTTAGAGGTGGATGTGGCTACTGCTAGCCCATGCACACTCATTCTTATTTGCACACCCTACGCATTCGTACTTGTCTGTTTTGCTGCCTAATGCACACCCATCCGCTTGACGTATGGAGGAGGGGGTGAACTTGCAGCTGTGTAGGGAAGGGGCTAACAAAGATTGGCACCAATAGAAGGTGGTTTCAAGGCCAATTGCTGCAGGGTGGTGGTGGTTGCAGTACACAGGGAGGGGAGAGTTAACCCTTCCTTTGCCAGCTGTGATCCCCGCTCCATATGTGTATTATGACGTTCTGGCTACAAACTGGGCAGAGTGGAGGCAGGTAGAGAAGGGTATACCCTGAATACAAGCACTCAGGCTGTGCTCTGTGAAAGTAAAGTCTACACTGCTGTCTCCTAATTGTGAGCCGTACTGGAAGGTGCTGTTTTTCTTATAGGGACCCAGCCTTCTCCATTACAGTCATACCTCATGTTACGGACACTTCAGATTATGTGTTTTCGGGTTGCGACCACAGGAAACCCGGAAGTACTGGAACGGGTTACTTTCAGGTTTCGCCACATGTGCATAAGCACCAAATTGGGCCGGCAGCTGCGCAGACGGGCGCTTCAGGATGCGAACGCTGCGGGTTGCGGACATGCCTCCGTCATGGATTACGTCCGCAACCCGAGTACAGGGTTTTTCTTACAGGGACCCAGCTCCTCTTCCATCTTCCTGTGATGGAAAGCTCTGGCCGTGCTGAGCCTTCCATGGAGTCCAAATATGGCAGTGCCACTTCATAGCCCTTGAAGGCTTATTGGGTGGCAAGGCTTGTGGGGCAAGCCCTGCGTGCCTTCCCCTTTTTGTTTCAGAGTCCTCTGCTTCACCACCTGGGGAAAATGTGGACGCCTGGACCCTGGCAACCCATCTCCCCAGCAGTTAGGCTTGCAGACAACCCTGCATGGGGTATCAAGAATGATTGCACTCTCTCTCTCTGTGGATTTTTTATGCTTGAAAACATCCTCCTGTTGACTCCATTGTGAAGTTTTTTCAAGCCTAGTTGCTGTGAATTGAAGGGATGAGGAGCAAGGGAGAGGAAGCCTCATGGACTGGCAGTTCCCCAGCCCTGGTCTTGATATCCTTGGATGATAAATCCAAAATGGGGACCAATTATTTGAAGGATGGTCAAGTTGTATAAAAATGTTCAAGTCTGGTGGGCACATATCGATAATTGATGAAGTATGAAATGAATTTATTTATTTATTTATTTATTTGAACCCCGCCTTTTCCCCCTGACAGGGACTTAAAATGGATTACAGATAGAATAGCTAAAAACTTTTTTATTATTACTAGTTTTTAAATTACTAGTTTTACTGTGGAACAACAGATTGACTCTGATTATCAAGAAGTCTGTTCACGGGAATCTTCTTTGACACCTTAAGCAGCTTGCATCTCTTTGCTTTTTGCAAGAGTAGGAGAAGCAGGAGTATGGATGACTAGAAGGGAGGTGGAGCTCAGCTCACATGAAAACTGACAGATTGTTGCTTATGTTTTAAAGAAGACAGTGTAGCGACAAGCAATGAAAATTTCTGACTGTGGAACAAACCACACAGTGAAAATATTCTAGGAGGTGAATGGGTTTAGTAAACCTAGACTGTCTGAATGCCAAGTCATCTGTCCTTAACTGAATTGCAGCCTGCTTTGTAGACAAAAATGCTTTGTATTTGTCTCACTTTGCAAATGGGTGGTTTAGTGAGGGTCTAAGACCTGGGAGAGATGTGGCTTTCAGCACTGCCATTGGTTTTGCCCCTGTGAGCAAACCTATCCCTGTCACATCAGTTTTTGAATTGCAATAATAATAATAATAATAATAATAATAATAATAATAATAATAATAATAATAATAATTTATTTCTACCCTGCCCATCTCCCTGGGTTTCCCCAGCCACTCTGGGTGGCTTCCAACAAAAGATTAAAAATACATTAAAATATCGGTCATTAAAAACTTTCCTAAAGAGGGCTGCCTTCAGATGTCTTCTAAAAGTCAGATAGTTGTTTATTTCCTTGACATCTGACAGGAGGGCATTCAACAGGGCGGACGCCACCACCGAGAAGGCTCTCTGCCTGGTTCCCTGTAACTTCGCTTCTCGCAGTGAGGGAACAGCCAGAAGGCCCTCGGTGTTGGACCTTAGTTTCCGGGTAGAACGATGGGGGTGGACGCTCCTTCAGATATACTGGACCGAGGCCGTTTAGGGCTTTGAAGGTCAACACCAACACTTTGAATTGTGCTCGGAAACGTACTGGGAGCCAATGTAGGTCTTTCAGGACTGGTGTTATATGGTCTCAACGGCCACTTCCAGTCACCAGTCTAGCTGCCGCATTCTGTTAGCTTATGTATAGATGTTAGCTTATTGTGTGGTACTCTTCTAAGGAAAACACATGCAAGTCTACTCTTTTACTCTCCCCATAAATAGCTTTCAGCATATTGGGTAAAAGGTATGAGGTGGCAAAATGCCATGATAAAGATGTATGGGAAATTATATCTGAAGATGCTCCTTGTTGTGTGCATGGTGGAATCCTAGGTGGATATTTACTTGAAATCTTTATTCATGACTCAGAACAATACTTTTTATATTTGAATGTGGTACTCTCAGTTATGCCTTTTTGTAAGTTTGCAGAATGGTTCTCTGTTGTGTGTTTTCCTTGTAGACATTTGAAGAGGCTCAACACTTCATCCAGAGTGAAAGGAAGAAATGACGTTCAGAAAAGGTATTATTTCCCCAAATGGCACATTTTAAAAATCAGTATACTTGAGTCATACTTGGCCATTATTATTATTCTAATCATGTTTTTCTTTGTTCCCTTTCAGTAAACATTTTCATTTTGGTGCTTGCTGTTGTTATATTTTTGCTAGTGTTGCATCACAACATATTGGGTCTCAGCGATCTCTTGAAAAGGGAATTATCAGGTATGGTGTCTCTCTCTTATTTCTATGAGTCTGGGCTTCAGTAATAATGTTTATTTGGGAGGTAACAAATCATTGCGTTGGTGAAATTATGTCCTTCACATAGGTTGTTTTTGTAATATATACTTGCATCTCAGTGTGGGAAAATGATTGTTTGTACATGAGAGCATGAGCAAAGTTCTTATTGTTATAGGGTGATTTCATAGCTAGAAGCATCCTTGGAGCATGAACAGCGCGTGAACAGCTCGTGCTGTCCTATATGATTGGCTAACGTAGCATGGCCTGATCGCTCGCATGGTCTAGTACGAAGGTCTTTATCTGCTGGCTAGAACAAATTGCTTGGCTTGTATTTTTTGTATCTTTCTGATTTCACACAATAAAGGCTGTGCTGCAGTAGCCCTAGGAGCAGCCATATTTCGGAACCTATCATGGTGTGAGACTGATTTTCCTCTGAATGCCGAGCTGCAACTCGACATCTCAGTTATTTCACAGAAATATCAAACCATTTGAAGTGCGGCTATCATGTCAAGAGTAATTTTATTTCTTTATAAAGATATACTGCTTAATATAGGGGACGCGGGTGGCGCTGTGGCTAAAACCTCAGCGCCTTGGACTTGCCGATCGCATGGTCGGCGGTTCGAATCCCCGCGGCGGGGTGAGCTTCCGTTGTTCAGTCCCTGCTCCTGCCCACCTAGCAGTTTGAAAGCACCCTTAAGTGCAAGTAGATAAATAGGTACCGCTTTATAGCGGGAAGGTAAATGGCATTTCCGTGTGCTGCTCTGGTGCCGGTTCGCCAGAGCAGCTTCGTCACGCTGGCCACATGACCCAGAAGTGTCTGCTGAGATGAGCGCACAACCCTAGAGTCTGTCAAGACTGGCCCGTACGGGCAGGGGTACCTTTACCTTTACCTTTACTGCTTAATATAATAAAAAAACCTCTAAGTGATTTACATAAAAACAATAAATAGAACAACATTCGATAACTCAAAATATACCTGTAGGTAGATTAAAATCAAAACATAGCTGCATATCCCAAATAAACTAATCAAGCCATAGAATTTAAGGGTCATCTTACTTGAAAGTAACTTTAATCTCATTGCAATATCATGGTCAATCATTAGGAAGAGATAAAAAGTTTGATTTGAAGGGATGGCTCGCCAGTGATCACCTAGAGATATTAGACTACAGCTCACATTATCCCTGACCTTTAGCCATGGTAACTAGGGCTAATGACAGTTGACATTCAGCTGCATCTGGAGTGCCACAGATTAGCCACCCAATTTAAAGTCTGATAAAATACCCTGCTAATGGAAGTAACTGGAGAAATTAAAGAAATGTGTAAAAATTATATAAGGTGTATCTAGCCAAAATTAAATTCTTCAAAGAGTGCAATTGACTTTGTCCTTGATATTTAACAGGACTTAAGAGTGAGTGACATTAGATTGAGCATGCCCAGAATGATGTTTATATAATAAACCTGTGCACACCATACGCTTATTCTGCAGATTCAAGTCCATTAGGCCTCCAACCGATAGATTTTATACCTGAGGCACCTCAAAGGTTAACAGAGGACTGGAATGACAAGGAGATTCCTGTGGTCATTACAGCATCTGATGATAGGCTTGGTGGGGTAATTGCAGCTGTGAACAGTATTCAGCAGAACACCAAGTCCAATGTGGCCTTCCATATTGTCACCTTGAATGACACAGTGGACCATCTGAGGTAAAGTATGTTTGAGAAATTTTCTTCCTTGGTTTTCGTTTGCGAAAGGTTTCCAGGCTTAGTAATGCTGACTTTGAAGAAGCAAACATACTCCGTCCTCTGTTTTGTAATCCTGTATTCTCTGCAAGAAGCTATAGATAATAAAGTACTGCTTATGTATAGCCAAGCAGAACGTTCATATAGCCAAACTGAAATAGGATTGACCAAGAAGAGACATCTCAGAGAATTACTCTTGCAGATGCTGCTCACTATTACCAGTTTCAGAACTGATTTGCAGGGTATTGAAAACTAAATATTCCTCTTTCACGATCCTCATCTAGCTCCTCTGAAAAATAGAAGTGGTCGTTCAAACAGTGCTTTTTTCTTAAATGTTTAGGGGTATGCATACCCCTGCGTACCCCCAGAACTGCCTTCAAGTATTTGGGCCCCAAATCATTTTTGGAATTGTAATTTAACATCAATGGTTTGAACTGAGCTGGAAGCTTACGGGCAGCCTGTGGAGATAATGGACCATAGGTGTAATGTGACTCCAACTTGATATGCCACACAGTACAGTGGTACCTCAGGTTAAGTACTTAATTCACTCCGGAGGTCCGTTCTTAACCTGAAACTGTTCTTAACCTGAAGCACCACTTTAGCTAATGGGCCTCCCGCTGCTGCCACGCCGCCGGAGCACGATTTATGTTCTTATCCTAAAGCAAAGTTCTTAACCTGAAGCACTATTTCTGGGTTAGCGGAGTGTGTAACCTGAAGCGTATGTAACCCGAGGTACCACTGTAATCTGGCAGTAGCATTTTGTACCAGTTAAAGCTTCTGTACTGTCTTCAACGGTGGCCTCGCATAAAACAAATTACAGCAGTCTAGATGTGAGATTACAATCACTGGAAAGGCTATCCCAGTCTGTAGCTGGCAAACCAACCTGAGCTGGAAATAGGCACTGCAGCCACCTGTGACTTTTTTACTGCTCTCTTCCCTGTACAGATCATGGCTTAGTAAAACTAGTCTGAAAAATGTGAAATACCAAATACTGGATTTTGACCCTCGTATGCTGGATGGAAAAGTGCAGGTTAAGTCTGAAATGCCAGACTCGATTAAACCTGTGAGTACTTGCACTGATTTATATTATTTTAACTTCCTTTCAGGTTGCTGATAATTCATGAAAAATATATACTTAGATATGGCAGTCTTGAAAAATCTGACCTGTAACTACTGATGCTATTAAGAGTTCTTGATTGTATTCATCAAATTAAGTTGGGACGGTTGAAAATTTTACCAGCAACTTAAGTTTCAATAAATTGTTTATTTACTATAAGCTTTGTTAGCAGACCAAAATATATCGTTAAAAGAGATTATGGTTATTTGAATCCAGTGTGTGGCATGTCAAATTTTATTTCATTCATTCATTCATCATCTTCTTCTTCTTCTTCCCTTTTGTTTCTACCTAGCTAACCTTTGCAAGATTCTATCTGCCTAATTGGGTCCCTAATGCAGAAAAGGCCATTTACTTGGATGATGATGTGGTTGTTCAAGGTACTTTTCTTCCTGCAAATACTTTCAGAGATGGAAGCGTCTTTCTGTAGACCTATCCTGTCTCAGGGCGAGGGACAGATTTTAGCCCACCTAAAGAAATGGGATGAAGTCATAGAATTATAGAGTTGGAAGGTACCTCCAAGGATCTTCTAGTCCAGGGGTCTGCAACCTTTAAGACAAAAAGAGCCACTTGGACCTGTTTCCGAAGGAAAAAAAACTGGGAGCCACAAAACCATTGTGACATTTAAAACAAATATATCTCCGGAGCCGCGATCTGACAGCGGGCGGGAAGGTGACGTCGGGACAGTGCGTGACTAACGCACGCACACCCCCCCATGTGACGTCACAGCCAGTACAGCGCCCGCCACAGTGGGGAGTGTCGGGGCACACAATGCGCCTCCCCCCCTCGCTAGTATCCGCCTCGGAGCCGCGGCAAAGGTGTAAAAGAGCCACATGCGGCTCCGGAGCCGCGGGTTGCAGACCCCTGTTCTAGTCCAACCTCCTGTAAAGCAGGAAACACATTATGTTAGAATTCCAAGGGAGTTATACTGGTTTCAGGGGGGGAAATACAGTATCACAAAATTAATTAGTGCAGTATCTTCTTAGTGCAATTAAAACTGCTGTTTTAACTTGAAATATGAAATTGACTTATGAACTCTGCACCCTGATTGGAGCTTTCCATGAAATCTGTACTCTTCCCAGCTTTAGAGACTGAAGTAAGGCTTCTCTAGAGTCTAGAGCATGTTGGAATGAATTTGGCATTTTAAGTAATAACTTATTTGTAGATGAAATGGTTTATATTTGCAAAAGATGTATTTAAGCTCCACACTGCTCTTCACTTCTGTGCATACATGAGAATAAAGCCCTGTTTTGAATGAAATGAAGTTCTCAGAGGCAAGACTGTGTCTGGGATCTAAAGAGCTGCTTTAGGCAGGTTTCGGGGTTTTCTTATCAAATGAGATTTTTGTGTGTGGCATATGCCCATATAACCATCATAAACAGAAAGATAACACTTGTTTCCAGTATTTGCAGCTATTGAAAATGATTGTGGTGGGCAGGGGCGGAATGGCAGGCGGGGTTTTAAAATTTGTTTTGAACTACCATTTCTTCTTTGCTTGGATTGCTTTTTCAGACGATATCTTTGAACTTTACAACACTCCACTGCAACAGGGTCATGCAGCTGCATTCTCAGATGACTGCGACTCTACCTCAAATAAGTTTGCAGTTCGTGGAGCAGGAAACCAGGTGCAAATAATTCTAACAGAAGAAAGCGAATGTTACCGGCCCCAGTTCTTAGAGGTGGCCTCTACCCTTGTGGTTGCGTTTGTTTTGCAGGAGTGCTTTATGCCTTTGGGTTTTCCAAAGCATTGAATGAAGCCAAGTGCCCCCTTTTTACCTGTATTATAGGACTGGGAACCTTAGCTTCTTCCTGGGCATGCTATATATTCCTGGCCCATATCAGTCAGTAGCCTGTATAATTTTCAGGGAATGGTAAATGCCTGTACCTTTCTGCATGGGAAGGCTACAGAATGTGGTGGAGTGGTCTTAGGATACCAGGGACTGTTGTCTTCTTCCTCGTGTCTTGAGGAGACCTGCTTCTCCCTTATGGTAATCCAAAGCAACGCTTTCAACTTCCTGTTCTAAGCACTGAGGAGGAGCAGGTTGTCCTCTATGGTATGCTGAACAGCCAGGAAGAGGAGGCGATCTTTGAGTAAATGTAGATGTAGGTGGTTCCTTACTTCTCAGAATCTGTATGCTGTGTAGGAAGGGAGCCTACATTTTTTGAACATAATGGCCATAAGCAAAATGTGGCTGATTCAGAAAGGCGTAGGTGGCTTTTTGTATTTAACTCACCTTGCCTCAGTATAGTTATTTTAAGGTATTTGAAATGTAATAGCTCATAAACAAAAACGAATAAAACTGCTAAATATCATCACATTTTGGTGAAGCTAGCATCTCCATATGGGATATATTTCCTCTGCAAATAGAGGGGTTGGGCAGTGAAACTTTCTGCAGAGAGAGATGTGTGTAACCAGTAAAGACTTCCAGGGATTCTTGTAACTGAAACAGAGACCCGGTTTCTATTAATTTTCAGTACAATTACATTGGATTTCTCGATTATAAAAAAGAAGCAATTCGGAAGCTGTCCATGAAAGCAAGTACCTGCTCTTTCAATCCGGGCGTCTTTGTTGCAAATCTAACTGAATGGAAACGACAGAACATCACTCAGCAACTGGAGAAATGGATGGCGCTTAATGTTGTGTGAGTGTGCCCATATTTCTGCTTAACACTGCCACTTGGGGGACTGAGCCTAATACAGTGTGTGCCGGTGGGGATGGAGAGTGATGAACTGCCAGAAGTATTTCTCAGGTCTTTCTACCATGTTGATGATAATCTTTCTCTATGCATGGATCATCTTTGCACTGACACCAGGCTACTTTCTGCATCTACTTCAGCCTACTAGCCCTGAATATATACAGTGGTACCTCGCAAGACGAATACCTCGCAAGACGAAAAACTCGCAAGACGAAAAACTCGCAAGACGAAAGGGGTTTTGGTTTTTTGAGTTGCTTCGCAAGACAAATTTCCCTATGGGCTTGCTTCGCAAGACGGAAACGTCTTGCAAGTTTGTTTCCTTTTTCTTAAAACCGTTAATACCCTATATCCTATGGGAAACCGTGCTTCGCAAGACGAAAAAAGTCGCAGAACGAACTAATTTTGTCTTGCGAGGCACCACTGTATTGTTTTCAGGTCTGTCATCTTTCAATTAAAATCCCTTCAGCTGTCTTGTTCTTTAACACGCCGCTGCCCCAATCTCAGACCATGAAACCACCTCTCTTTCTTTCTTTCTACCAACACTGTTACAAAGGTTGTCCTGAACCATCTGCTATTAGGTGGTCCACCCACATTTCTTTCTCAGGCTCTTCCTTCTGCTCCTATTCAGCCTGTTACTTTTTGAGCCTTTTGCGTAGGAAATACTATTCAGTACTCTTGATACTGAGCTTTTTGAATAGCCAAAGCATGTCACACACTTTCTGAAATCCTTGTTCCTATTGCCTTGCAAATGTTTTCCTCATATTGCAAGTGGTCGACAATGACTGAGAGAAGGTACATACTCATTTGCAGCTGCGTTTCTTAGCTGGGCTACACCTACACTCAGATGATTTCTCCATTTATTTTTCTGGCTCATTGCAAAGTATGTCAGTTGCTGTATAGTGCCTAACAGAAGGTTGTAAACAAAATGTTTTATAAGACATTGTTCAATAGGATGATTAACGATTTGAAAAGAGAAACACTCAATTGGATTAATGAATATTTAGCTGGTTAAATTTTCTTTCTTATCCCTGACTAGAGAGGAAATATACAGTCGGACTCTTGCAGGCAGTATCACTACACCCCCTCTGCTCATTGCATTTTACAAGAGACATTCAAACCTTGATCCTATGTGGAATGTGCGCCACCTTGGTAAGTATAATGGAAGAGGATGTGATACCTTTGCCAGACTTAAGCTGGTTGAAGTGGTTGCTTCTGTAGGCCTCATTTTCTTCTTCACAGGACCTTTGAAGTGTGGTAATGAAGCTGTGGATTTGTCTGCCCAAAATTTCTTCCTTTTCCTGTCTCTGAACTCTTTACTACATTTTGAAAAGTTTGACCATGATGTGAAATGGCTCGGGAAACATGGTGTTTGAATATGAATTCAGTGGTCAGTTAAATGTGGACACAGGAAGATTTCTAGATACAGTGGTACCTCTAGTTGTGGACACAACCTGTTCCGAGCGGTGCTTCTGCGCACACGGTGAAACCCGCAAGTATACACTTCCAGGTTTCCCGCGTTCGCAAACTGAAAAGACGCAGCATGAACCTAATGCAACACGAGGTAGGACTGTATACTTTGGTGATGGCTATTCAGGTATCCTTGCTGCATTCTCCCACCCATCCCAGTTGCAATGGGGGTAAGAAAGGATATTTGAAAGATAAATCAGTGTTTTAACAATGGTTGAAAATTAAGAGTCAGCTGCGAACTTTGATTATGTGACTTGCTAGCCTTTAATAGAACCCAGCTAGAGTCTTTTGAGAGAAGACAGGATAGGAATCTAAATCCACTCATGTTTCTTCATTCAATTCAAAGGTTCGAGTGCTGGCAAAAGATACTCTCCACAGTTTGTGAAAGCTGCCAAACTACTCCATTGGAATGGACACTTCAAACCCTGGGGAAGGACCGCATCCTACGCAGATGTTTGGGAAAAATGGTACATTCCTGACCCTAGTGGCAAATTCAACTTGATTCGGAGGCACACTGACACTTACGAGGCAAAATAAGATGGAAGTGATACACCCCATATTCTTCTCAGGAACCAGACGAGACCATAGAGTGAAGTTGGTAATGCTACGTCCATTCGGATTGTTTTAAAATGGAGACACGCTTAAGTACTTGAAATGCATGCTTAAGAGAGGAAGCCTCTTTAAGCAGAGGAACCTCCACGAAACTAGCATTTTCAACCAGATGGGATATTAAAGAATGACCTTCTAGGGATAAAATGTTTCAGAAGACACTGCACCCAAGACTTTATCACAGCTGGTGCTGGGGGAGTGTCTCATGTTGCACAGCAACTTGATGTACTAAAAAGCTGCTACCACTTTTTACTGTTACTTAACCTGTGAATATAAGCTTTTTGGTGGATCCCTCCTATTGCTTGAAGATCCATTCAGATTCTTACAGCTAATTTGAAGTTTGATTGTGGATTAAAAAAAAATCTGCGTTCCAAACACTATTTTTATAGTAAAGTTTCTTTTAATAAAACTACCCATCAACAGTAAAGCAGCCCTTATTTCTTAAAAAATGAAATTTATGATTTGATTTATATTCAGATTTATGGATTGTGTGCAGGCAACTGAAATGTGAATGGTAACTTGTGCTTCACAATATATCACTCCCTCGGTGCCCACCTAGCAGTTCAAAAGCATGTCAAAGTGCAAGTAGATAAATAGGTACCCTTCCGGCGGGAAGGTAAACGGCGTTTCCGTGCGCTGCTCTGGTTTGCCAGAAGTGGCTTAGTCATGTTGGCCACATGACCCGGAAGCTGTATGCCGGCTCCCTCGGCCAATAAAGCGAGATGAGCGCCACAACCCCAGAGTCGGTCACGACTGGACCTAATGGTCAGGGGTCCCTTTACCTTTTAATAAATTAATTGTGCTTGAGTTCCTATCAATTTGGAAGCAAAATCCCACCCTGCAAAAGTTAGTGGTTTTTATGTGTTCAGTGAGCTCCTCGCATATGCTGATCTATAAACATCTGTACAGTGGTGCCTCGCAAGATGAAAAGAATCCGTTCCGCGATTCTCTTCGTCTAGCGGTTTTTTCGTCTTGCGAAGCAACCCTATTAGCAGCTTAGCGCTATTAGCGGTTTAGCGGCTATTAAAGGCTTAGCTGCTAAAAGGCTATAAGCGGCTTAGAAAAAGGGGGGGGGGAGCGGGAAAAAATCGCAAGACTAGCAAGACGTTTTGTCTTGCGAAGCAAGCCCATAGGGAAAATCGTCTTGCGAAGCAACTCAAAAATGGAAAACCCTTTCGTCTAGCGGGTTTTCCGTCTTGCGAGGCATTCGTCTTGCGGGGCACCACTGTACATCTAAAAGGGGGGGGGGGAAATGCCCACTGCCACCAAGCTAAGGATCTGTGAGTTTCCAGGACTTGAGGTTGATAGTGAGCCAACAGATACAAAAAATCTTAACACATTCATATTAAATACAATGGTACCTCAGGTTACATACACGTCAGGTTACAGACTCTGCTAACCCAGAAATAGTACCTCAGGTTAAGAACTTTGCTTCAGGACGAGAACAGAAATTGTGCTCCGGCAGCGCAGGAGGCCCCATTAGCTAAAGTGGTGCTTCAGGTTAAGAACAGACCTCCGTAACGAATTAAGTACTTAACCCGAGGTACCACTGTACTAAGCAATAGGAACTTGTGTCATTTTGCTGCTAACTTTAGCAGGTGAGAACAGCCCAAACATAGTGTTTCAACTTCTTGAAAACTGAGCGAGGGCCCATTGGTGTAAAAGGCTGCAAGTATTACGGGACCTGCATCCCTTCTTTGTCCTTGGACCTTTTAAATTTTCTTATTTTTCGAACCTATGGTCTGTATGTGCACATTCTAAGCTGGGAAGCCCATGAGCTGGGTGGTCATGAGCCCGAGACTAAATGATCATCATTCCTCTGTCATTGGTTCAGTTGTATGTGCAATTACAAGTTATGGCAAGATAGCTGCTTGCTTCGCTGAATGAAAAAGAACATGGAGGTTTATGAACAGCATTACTAATTGTATAATGCCTTCCTTGCGGACAAGTTGAATAAAAAACCCTTGCTGCTTTTGTATATAATTGAAGAACCACACATTTCAGTTAAAAGCGTATTAAAAAGTGAAGTTTTCTGTGTGTCTGTAGTTTTCTTGATACTAATCCTTTCTCTGTATGCCCTTCCACCTTCTTCTGGACTATTTTGCTGGCCAGGGAAGGTATTCTCCGGGAACTCAGATGAAGGGGAGATTTAATAAGCTGTGTTTTGAGCCTGTCTGTGCTCTCTTTTACCCAGTTGTCCAAATACCAGTAAAAAGTATATGATGTGTATGCTTCCCCCCCCCTAACATCAGGGTTGGAGAAATGGTGGTATTCATAATCTTAAGCAGGAGACATATTCTTCATGTATCGCATCTCTCCTTAAAGGGGTGCTTTGTGTGAGCCTAGCGGTCACTGCGCTGAAGTGAGAGCAGCACATCTTTCTCATTACCACCCTTCCTACGTAGCCCACTGCTGCTCCATCAAAAAAAGGAACATATTATTCTATTATTGTAAATCAGCAAATAACCCTTTATCCTCAGCATGCCACTTGCAGTGCTCTGCTTTAGTTCATTTATATATAACAGAGGCAAGGAAGGGCCTTTTCAGCTGACAAGTGGGACCAAGTAAGTAAGAAAAATGGACAGGGTATAAGTAATAAATTATCATCATTATTCAATACGATTTACTCAGTTGAAAACAAATTCTTTTCTTTACTATTTTTACTAAATTATTTAATAGTCCTGTACAGTATTCACATGGCCTGAACTTGAGGGGCTCCAAAAGTCCTGGTATTGGTCCCAGAAATCAAAGAAGCACTCAAGTCCTTTTGATATTCTCTTCACATATAATCTGTATTGAAGTCATATGCATCATCCAGGTCACCAGTCTTCTCTGTGTTGAGTTGCTTACCTGCAGAAGGGGAAAAAAATGTCAGTCTGAAATCATCTGCTTGCTCAAGGTGACATTTGTCTTTTGAAATTCATTAATCATAATAAATGTACCTGTAGGTAACTTCCCCAAGTCTGCATTATTTGCTTTTAGCTCTTCAGAGGTTGTTTTGCCGCTTGCTGTTCTGTTGCTTTCCTGAAACAAGGTGACAGGAATGCAAAATGTCAACATGACAGCACTGATGGTAATTAAACATTTTTCTAAAAGCCAAAGGCACTGCATATTACAGTGGTACCTCTGGTTATGAACGCTGCTAACCCAGAAGTTGCTGCTCCTGGTTGCTAACTTTGCCCCAGGATGAGAACAGAAATCGTGGTCCAGCAGCGCTTGCAGCAGGAGGCCCCATTAGCTAAAGTGGTGCTTCAAGTTAAGAACAGTTTCAGCTTAAGAACGGACCGCTGGAACAAATTAAGTTCATAAGCAGAGGTACCACTGTATTTCAAACAGGAAGCTATTTGCCTGTTTAGGCAACACATGCAAATTCAAAAATAACCTACAAGTGTAGGTTGTACTGTCTCGACAGTGTACCCTTTTATTCATGGATAAGGACTGAGGCCAAGAACTCCACCCTCTCCACTCTGCTGATGACTCTCAATATATTAATCTTGGTGCTCACAGATGTACCTCTTCAATATCACTTTCTATTTCATCCTCTTCATCTTCTCCTTCGGTTAATTCCTCCTCATCTTCACTCGCTTCTGTCTTCTCCAAGCCCACTACTTCCTCTGGCAGTTCACTCTCTTCTATTATGCCCTCGGTGAAGCCAAGAGATTGAAAGGCAATGCTGCTTGCCTCATTAGGATATTTGCTACCTGTAAAAGAAATGTCCATTAATGCTATATGGGCAGAACTCTTGAAAGTGCTTTCCCAAAGGACAAATACTCTGGTCCGATTTCTACCAAAACGGTTTCACATTTTAAGTGAACTGTGCAGCAGAAAACATCAAAGGTGCAAGATGCTCAATTCATTTTCTAGTTTTAGTTGTATGTATTTGTCAGCACAGCACACTCAGGAGCGTTAAGTTTACATCTCTCGCTATAATCAAGATTCCATGGCACCTAACACAGTGATGCCACTGCTTGTTTGGACCCACAGAACTCAGTAGCAGCCCCTGAAAACTGAGCCACCTCCCAACTGCATAGCTCTGTCTGGCCACTCATGCTAGAAGCTTAAAAAGCTTCAGGAGATGTATAAAGTAATGCTGCCCACTAACAAAGTGGTATAACGTAGCAAAACAACAATTACCCAACTGCTCTGAAACCCATCCTAAAGACCCAAGATAATTTGGTACACCAGCATCACCTTTTATGGTACTTTTGTTATCTTCTTCCAGATCCTGAAGATTAAAAGCCTGTTGTGCTGCTGCTACAATTTCACGGGAAAGGTGTGGCGACAGAGTCCATGCTGGAGGAGGCCGTGAATAGTAACTCACTTTGGCCCTAAGAGGGGGGTGGGGAAGAAAATTGTTTACAAAGGATCTAAAAACCAGGAATTTGCCCTATTTATTCAGGAGAAGCAGAGGGCTGGACAGCTGGCTTTACACTGTGTAAATTGCAAGGGGCTGGCTAGCAGACAAGGCACTCTGGCCCTGCCTCCCAGGAGTTAGCATTTAATTGTACACCCCCAATTTTCCACCTTGTTTCTGGGGCTGTAGCTGACCCCCAAAAAGGGGGGGTGCAACTAGCAGAGAGAAAGACTCAAGTAGCAGCATTTCAGGGAAGTGCAGAAGTTGGGCAAGGAGGGGTGAGAGAGAGGTTCTCCTTCACCACACCATGTTCTTTTAAGCACAGCACCTATTTCTCAGCAGCAAATCTTTCATGCAGACAAATGAGAACATATTTACCCTGTCCAATCATACAGAAATAGTTTGGCCGCACTTTCTGTATCAGCAAGACCTCCTTTCTTCAGCATTCCTCTCTTCTGAGCAAGCAGAGTTAAGAACTCCAGAGAGTTTCTGTAGTCTGGGACGTTGTAGTGCAGCATAATCTGAAATAATAATAAAGAGAGAGCCTCATGTGTGTACACCAGATTCTCCAACATCACTCGTAAGCCCAAGCCTTTTAACGGCAAGAGCAGCATTTTCTTGCTCCAGTTTACATATCTAGACCACGGCAGAAAGCAGAAGTGGGTCAGAACTCCTTAGGAAGCACCGTTAAGCACAAAGCAAGATCAGAGTTGGATCTGATGTCTTCACTGTAACAGTAAGACATAACAAATATCCTCATTTCTCACTTGGCTAATACAGTAATAAGCATGAATCTGTTCAATGATGGGGCATATAAAACTTGAAATTCATATTTTATAACCCAACCAAATTCTCAGTTGTGATCTGTTTAAACTTTTTAAAGATTGCACTTTTCAATAATTACAGTATGTGCTGGGACCTCATAGTGAAGAGCAGGTAAGGAATAAAGTAAACAAGAGCATTAACTTGTTGAATCTTATCTGATTTAATCTAAAGAGTCTGACGTGATGGGCAAACATAGATGATTCTATCTGTGTGAACTTGATGCTACACAACTGCTACTGAACCTTGCC